CTACTGATTGTGGTTACACTGGCCTGTATTCTTGTGTGCTGATTGTAATGGTGGTGTGGTGGTGGTGTGACTCAGGTCATCCTTTGTTTTCTTTTCCTTTTTTTTGGATGCATTCCCTACAGTCTAACTAATCTTCCACCTGTTGGGATTATCTTTTTCTTTTTTTGTTTCTTCATGTTATTGTGTGTTTTGTGTGTTTTTGCTCTTTGTGTGTGTTTATCCTATAATTATTATTATTGCTACTCCATTGTGTGTGTGTGTTTTTGGAGACTGTCTCTCTGTGTGTACACCTGGGCTTGCACTATGATAATGATGAACTGTCTTTTTTTTCAATGAAAAGAAAAGAAATAATAATAACAGATGAATTTATATTTATAATTTCTTGTATATACACATATATAGACTTACACCCATAGTTGCTGTATATTTCTCTGTTTACTGGTTAAATTGGGCTAATTTGTAATATCTTTTTCTTTGCTTGATGATTTTGCTGGGTCGCTGAGCCTTTTTTAAGATAATTGTGAGTGTGGGTTTTTTTGTTTTTCTTTTTACTCTTACTGAGGTTATTGCGCTGTATTTCATAACTTAAATGGTAGGTTTTTTTTTTCGATGTGAGTCTCTTTTGTGGTAATCGATTTGTGTGACCTAACATATTTGATACTTCAGTTATTTTCTTTTTTTGTTTTTTTGATTGTCTTTCTTTCTAGATCAGTGTTTTTACGCAAACCAAACTATTGTCTCTCTCTACTGATGATGATGATGATGATGGGCCGTGTGATGTGTATGTTGGCCGTTATGCTGTGCTGCGCCTGCGGGTATACCATGACGGCTGCTGCTGCTGTTGATAATGACAGTCCCAGTGGCCGTGGTGTGTCCCGTGGGGCTGTGGAGGTGTCGTGCGGGGCCGGCGGTGCGCTGCGTGTACGCCCCGCTGCTGAGAGCGAGTGGCTTACATGCGGTGCGGGCAGCCGTGTGTCTGCATGTGGGAAGTACGCAGACCTCTGCCGCCAGCGTACCGCAAGAGCAGCAAGAACAACAAGGAGGGCAATTATTGCTAATGATGGAAAGACACTGACTGCGGAAGAGAAATATCCGGATGCTTTTAATATTGATATGAGCCATTTTCCTGTTGTTAAAGAAGATGAAAAAAAAAAGGTGTTGCGAAAGATGTGTAAGAAGAACAGTGAAGCTGTTTTTGATAAATTAACGTGTAAGGATGTGAGTTATGAAGATGAAATATTCGTTTTTAATGATTATGAACATGTGGAGCCCCCAACAAAGGTTGATATGAGTACTGGTTGGTATTGGAATCCAGAACATAAAGCAGAAAGAGAGAAAAGGGATAAGGAACAGAAGTTCCGAGAGGTGTGTAAGGTGAATCCTGATACTGTTAATGATGAAGTAAACTGCACGGAGTTTTTAAAACCGAAGACAGCGGGGGCTGACGTGAGGCAAGTTAATCATGAAGAGGCTCCATCAAGTGCGGCACAGAACTCTGCAGGTGGTTCTTCTTCTCATTCTGACAACACCAGGACTTCCAAAACAGAAGTGTCAGCACCCAGCGTAACAACACCAACAGTTACCAGCACGCAAGTCCACACTCAAGTGTCTACTGTAGCTACACATACTAATCAGGGGGCATCAAGCAGCACAACAGCTAACAGTACTCCTGGCAACTCTAATCCTACCCAGCAATCTGCTGCAGCTGTTGATGCACCTGCCACACCAGAATCACGAGAAACCACTTCCAGTACTCCGCCGAGCTCCGAGAGCACAATCAGTGAAGCACCAACCACCACTCCATCTCCTGTTTCCGTACCTGACACACAGATCAACAACATTTCCCCCACTATGCAGAACAAGACTAATGTTGACAGCAGTGTCAGTCCTGTGTGGATGCGCACTGCAGCACCTCTGCTGATTGTGGCTGTGTTGTTCTCCTTTACAGTGTACTGAACAGTGGGTCTCACTTGAGAACAAATAATAATAATAATAATAATGGTAATACTAACATAATCATATTTGCGTACATCCCCCATGGGTGAATAAACTAATACTCTGTTTACCTGCTTTCTCTTTTAATTCGAGTTTTTTTTTTTTTTACTTTTGTGTGTGTATGTGTTGTTTTTCTAATAAATCCATTACTTGCTTTTTCCCGTTGTGTGTTTGCAGAAAACTGGGCTGTTCTGCTCACTGACGGTATACATCTCTTGCTAGTACACAGATGTGTGTGTGTGGAGTAATTTAATATACATAAACTAGAGCCATGGGGTATTGTGTGTGTGTGTTTGGCTCTCTCTCTTATTTGGGTACTGTGGGGTGTTCTTTTTCTTTTCTTTTCTATTAATGGGTACATATTATTATAATACAAGCATGATGTTACTTTTTTGCTTTACTGTGCAGTTGATGCTTCTCTCTCTTTTCCACTGTGTGTATTTGTGCCCTGCATCCACTCACTATGTTTGTCTCAATTGTTTCTCTCGTTTTTCTTTCTTTTTCACATTCCATCCATTAGACCTGTGAACTCAAGTGTTGAGAACAACAAGAAGAAGAGTGACGATAACCGTTATGATGATGATGTGCCGTGTGATGTGTGTGTTGGCCGTTGTGCTGTGCTGCGCCTGCGGGTATACCATGGCGGATCCTACTGTATCTTCTGCGGCTTCTGCTAATGTGCGTGAAGATGTGCGGAGTATTGGTTGGGGTGGTTGGGGTGATTTTCTTGCAACAGCAGGCCATGATGCGGATTGCAGGGATGGGAGTAATGAATATACAAGTACTGGAATAAAATGCTCGGACTGGAAAACACACGGGAATCTCAGTGGTCCACCACCAGCATCGCCACCACCCGTTACCGAGTCCCCACCAGGTGCTCCTGCACACAAACAGAGTTCAGAAGCTAATGACCTACAAACAGGAAAGCCACCGGGTGCATCACAAGATGAACTCGCTGGTGATCTGCAACCCGTTGTCCCTGGGGGTTCTAGAGCACAAGATGGTGAGAGTGCCGAGATCGCAAAAGGAACAAGTATGTCGAGAAAAGAAAGACAAGAAGAAGAGTCAACTGCAGTTAAACGAAGTAACGATGAAGCGTCAAATAAACCAGCTAATAACAGCACACCTCAGGAGTCTGCTGCAGCGCCACAAAGTAACAATGAAGGGTCGAATGCAGGTAACAGTGGTTCTGGCGCAGACTCACAAGAAACAAATACTACTACTCAGCCGAGCTCCGAGAACCCTACCACAGAAGCACCAACCGCCACTCCATCTCCTGCACCCAACGCAGATATCAACACTATTGCTTCCACAGTACAGAAGAAGACTAATGCTGACAGCAGCAGTATCAATTCTGTGTGGGTGCGCACTGCAGCACCGCTGCTGATTGTAGCTGTATTCTTCTCCGCTACTGTGTACTGAACGGTGGGACTCATCTGAGGACAAATAATAATAATAATGGTAATACTAACATAATCATAATTGCGTATATCCCCCATGGGTGAATAAATAAACTAATAATATGTTTACCAGCTTTCTCTTTCAATTCGAATTTCTTTTCTTCTACTTTTTTCTGTGAGTGTTCTTTTTCTATTAATTCCATTATTTGCTTTTCCCGTTGTGTGTGTGCAGAAAACTGGGCTGTTCTGCTCACTGACGGTATACATCTTTTGCTAGTACACACAGATGTGTGTGTGTCTGTGCAGTAATTTAATACATAAACTAGGGCCATGGGGTATTGTGTGTGCTTGGAGACACTCTGTGTGTGTGTGCCTGGGCTTGCACTGTAATGATGATGATGAACTGCTGTTTGAAATTTGGGAAAAAGAAATAATAATAACAGATGAATTTATATTTATAATTGCGTATATACACACATATAGACTTACACCCATAGTTGGTGTATATTTCTATGTTTACTGGGGTATGTTGGGCTAATGATTAATACATGATTCTTTGTTTGTTTGTGGTGTGCTTTGCCTTTTATGGTTTTTGTGGTAGTCTGCTTTATGCAGAGAAAAGAAAAAAATAGTAGTTAATACAATTTGTATTCTTATGTGCTTGAACACACCAGCATACTCAGTGGTCTGTGAGTTATTTTTGTGCGGTTGGTCCTCCTCTTAATTTATGTTTTTGTTCACGTTTTCTTTGCTTGGTGCGCTGTGCTTTTTCCTGCATTGTTGTGTGTTGGAGTGTTTTGTGCGGAGAGAAAAAGATAAAGAATACACATATGTATATTTGTAAGTGTGCTTGGTCCTATCGGAAGAGGCATTCTGACTTTATTGTTGTGCCTGCTTCTGATGGTCGTACTCTTTACTTTCTTTTTTTTCTTTTGAGGGGTTAATTGGGATTATCTGTTTGGTAATGGGTACTGTGGGCGTTTTTACTTTAGTTTGGGCACTATATGAGTTATGGTTGCAGCTTTCTGCAATGTGTGTGCTTCTGTTGTAATTATTGAGTGTTATTTGATTTGGTGTGTGTTCTCTTTTTTTCAATTGATTTACTTTGTTTCTTTTTTTCTCTCTGTATTCTTTCTTCTTTATTGTGCATTCCATTGAACTAAGACAGGTGCAACGATATCCACAACAATACCTGCAACCATTGGAATAATAATAATGATGCGCTACGTGCTGTGTATCCTCGCTCTCCTGCTCTCCTGTGCGTGTGTGCACGTCCTCGCTGAAGAAGTGCCTGCCGCCGATCTTTCCGACCAAGTCCCTGATACGGAGAGTGAGACAAAGATTCTTCTTCAAGGTACTCCGTGCCCTACTGCTGATGCTCCTGGTAACTGTAATCCTTCTGGTGCGGAAGCTGGACATGGTGGTGATGGTTCTTTGGAGTGCAATTCTGATGCTCCTGAAGGTTCTGAAAGTCCCAACCCATGTGTGAAAAAGCCCGAAGCTCCTGCTAGAGTACCTGAGGCACCAAAAGAAGTTGTTCCTGAGAAAAAAGTACCGGTTATTCCACCTAAAAAACCCGAAGCTCCTCCTGCCGCAGCACATGATGTTCAAAGTCATCATGGAGATGATCGTATTTCTGGTCCTCGTGACGGAACTGCTGAAACGGGTGACGCAGGTGTTCGTGGTCAAGTGGGTGAGAGCGGCTCTTCTGGTACTTCTGCTGGTACTTCTGGTACTGGTGGTATTCAAACACATGCCGAATCTGCTGAACCTAGGGCAGATGTCACTGAAGCTGATGGTGCAGATGAAGTGCAAACTGAAGGGGACGGCAACAATACAGCAGATGAAAGTGCTGATAGCCAAGGAAGTGGAGCACCACAAACTTCTTCTACAACCATTACAGAGGCAAGGAATGCCACTGATGCTGATACTACAGCGTCTGAGAGCGGCACTACACCTTCACAAGACGTTGCAAACCCAGAAGGGGGTGAATCAACCAGTGGTGAGGAATCAGCCTCAAACACCACCACCACCACAACCACAACCACAACACTTCCTCCTGAACTCACAAACAACAAGAAGGGTGATGCAGACAGCAGCAGTAGTATCAGCAGTTCTGTGTGGGTGCGTGTACCACTACTGATTGTGGTTACACTGGCCTGTATTCTTGTGTGCTGATTGTGATGGTGGTGGTGGTGGTGTGACTCAGGTCATCCTTTGTTTTCTTTTCCTTTTTTGCATGCATCCCTACAGTCTAACTAATCTTCCACCTGTTGGGATTTTTTTTTTTTTTTTGTTTCTTAATGTTAATGTGTTTTGTGTTTGTTTTTGCTCACTCTATGTTTATCCTATAATAATTATTATTGCTACTACTCCATTGTGTGTGTGTGTTTGTTCTTGGAGACTCTCTCTGTGTATGTGCACCTGGGCTTGCACTGTAATGATAATGATGAACTGCTTTTTGTGCAGTGGGAAAAAGGAAATAATAATAACAAATGAATTTATATTTATAATTGCGTATATACACACATATAGACTTACACCCATAGTTGGTGTATATTTCTGTGTTTACCTGGTAAGTTGGTATCAGTAGTTAATATCTCTATGTTTGTTTGTGTTTTGCTGGGCGTTTGTGTGTGTGTTATATTTGGTAACCGTATGAATATTGGTCTGTTGTTTTGTGCTTGACTGAGTTTACTTTGCTGTTTTGTTTTCTTTAACTGGTTTAGTTTTTTATATGTGTTTCTTTTACTGTGTTTGGATTATTTTTTTTATCTCTCATATTGTTTTTCTATTTTTTAGTTCACTGTTTTCAAGCGAAATCCACAGTCACTATTATGACTTTGAGGGAAATGATGCGCCGCACGCTGTGTTTACTGGTTCTCATGTTGTGCTGTGCTTCTGGATGCGTAATGGCTAATCACCTTCAACCTAAACCTCCACTTTTCACTGATGATCAAGCTGCTGGGTTTGGTATTGGTCGTGTGCATGGTGTTCCTCTAGGTGGGGCTGCTGGAGTTATTCCTGGTGTTCCTGGTGCTATCCCCGATGTTCGCCCCGGTACTGCTGCTGCTGGAGCTCCTCAAGTAAGGGTTCCCGGCTCTCTCCCGCCTGGTTCTGGTGCTCCCCCTGGTGTTTCTGCTGTTGATCCGGGTATTGAGCGTGGTACACCCGGAGTTGATAAGCTTGAGAAAAATTACAATCACCACCCTGGAATTGATGGTGTGCCTGGAAAGGTTAATGATACTCTTGCGAAACAGTTGGGTATCTCACCTGGTAAAAATCTTTCTGACCCCACTGCAAAAAATGTTGGTGTCCCTGGTTTCAAGAATGAGGAAACCCCTGCTGCTGGTGATGCTTTACCTGTATGTCCCACAATTTCTAAAGAAAGTGGCATTGGTATTGGTGGTGTACCTGGTGCTTCCGGTGCTGCCGGTGTTCCCTGTGCTCCTCCTGTTCCTGGCTCTGTTCCTCCTCTTCCCAGTGGCCCGTCTCCAACGTCTGAAGAGGTCAATGGTAATCTAAGTCTTATCGTCAACATGACTACCCATCCTAATGGTACTGCACTTCAATCAGAGCTTAATCCTGCGCCTAAAGGCACTGCTACTCAACCTGTTGTTCCACCCAGTGCTTCACAATTTCCTCATGGTTCTAAATTTCCCGGTGTTTCTGGTGCTGTTCCTATTGTTCATAATAAACCTGATACTCCTGAATATCCTGGTGTTCCTGAAGGTGCTCTTCATGTTGGTAATGGCAGCAGTGAAGCGGGTCGTATTCGTTTTTCTCGTCCTGTTACTCATGCCACGGATGCTGATCCCCAGAGTAATGCAGATTCCTCAGATACTACAAGCACTCAAATTGGAGAGAATAATAATCGGGCAGAGACTACTGCAGCATCTTCAGCTAATGAGGTGAGTGGTGCACCTGCACAGAGTGAATCAATAAGGAACACCCCCGAGACACCCACTAAGGTAAAACCACCCACAATGCCAACAATATTGCAACCTCCTATGCCTGCGAAGAGCGAAGACAAACCACCACCCAAGAAGCGTAAGGCAGACAGCAGCAGTATCAGCAGTTCTGTGTGGGTGCGTATGCCACTACTGATTGTGACTGTTTTGTTCCCCTTTACTGTGTACTGAACAGTGGGACTCATCTGAGGTCAAAGAAAAATAATGTTAAACTAACATAATCATAATTGCGTATATCCCCTATGGGTGAATAAACTAATAATCTGTTTACCAGCTTTATCTTTTAATTCGAATTTCTTTTGCTTTTACTTTTGTGTGTGTGTGTTCTTTTTCTATTAATTTCATTACTTGCTTTTCCCGTTGTGTGTGTGCAGAAAACTGGGCTGTTCTGCTCACTGACGATATACATCTCTTGCTAGTACACCCAGATGTGTGTGTGCAGTAATTTAATATATAAACTAGAGCCGTGGGGTATTGTGTGTGTGTTTGGCTCTCTCTCTCTCTCTCTTATTTGGTTATTGTGGGGTCTTTTCTTTTCTTTTCTATTAATGGGTACATATTATCACTACAAGTGGGATATTCCTTTTGTTGCTTTACTGTGCAGTTGTTGCTTCTCTCACTCTCTTTTTCACTGTGAGTATTTGTTGTACTGTTGTATGTTTATTTGTTTCTATCATAATTCTTTCTCTTCCTTCTTTTCTTTCTTTTATTAGTCTATCGAAGTCAACATCAATGACTAAGGCTGTAATGATGAGGTGCAACCTCCTCTGTTTATTAACTCTTTTACTCTGTTGGGGTTGTGGGTTAGTATGGGCTCAACCGAGCGAAAGTACTATGGAGGGCATCCGTAGAGACGCCGTTTGTTTTCCTCCTTCGGAGCCTATTGTTCGTGATGATGGAACTCGTGGCTGTGCTGTCAACAAAACACGTAAAACCCAAGAACCTCAAGAGACCCCTGCCGTGGTGAGACAACAACAAGGACCACAGATGGAAGAAAACAAACCGAGAGACGCTGAAACAGACACCGGGAGGGAATCACATCCGGATACAGATCAACCACCAAACGGAGGGAACACAAACTCAAAAGGATCAGGTGTTAATGAAGGGAAAGAGATATCTGCTACTGCATCTCAGAGTTCACCTGAGAATTCTTCCAACACATCACCCTCACAGAATGCAGGTGAGTCTGGACCTGCAGAGACTGGATCAACAAGTAACCCAAATGATACAGAAAATACAAATACCACTACAACCACAACAACCACAACCACAACAATACTTACCCCTGTACCCAATGCAGATATCAACAGCAACATCACTTCCACAGTACAGAACAAGGCTAATGCTGACAGCAGTGTCAGCAGTTCTGTGTGGGTGCGTGTACCACTACTGATTGTGGTTACACTGGCCTGTATTCTTGTGTGCTGATTGTGTGATGGTGGTGGTGTGACTCAGGTCATCCTTTGTTTTCTTTTTATTTTGCATGCAATCCCTACAGTCTAACTAATCTTCCACCTGTTGGGAGTTATCTTCTTTTTTTGTTTCTTAGTGTTAATGTGTGTTTTGTGTGTGTTTTTGCTCTCTCAGTGTTTATCCTATAATAATAATTATTGCTACTCCATTGTGTGTGTGTGTGTGTGTGTGTGTGTGTGTGTGTGTTCTTGGAGACTCTCTCTGTGTGTGTGTGCACCTGGGCTTGCAGTGTGGTAATGATAATGAACTGCTTTTTGCAGTGAGAGAGAAAAGATAAAATAATAATAACAGATGAATTTATATTTATAATTACTTATACACACATATAGACTTACACCCATAGTTGGTGTATTTCTATGTGTTTAATGGGTAAATTGGGCTAATGGTTAATATCTTATTTTTTGCTTGTGCGTTTGCTGGGTCGTTGTGTGATTTGCCTTGCATTATCTTCTTGATCTGCTTTGTGCTGAGTAAGGAAAAAGAGTAACAGATACATCTATGATCATGAGTGCGTATGCGTTGCCAAGCTTATCCATAGAAACGTATTTGTGTGTTTTCTCGTTTTGGTCATTGTGCTCTTGGATTCTTTTTTTCTCCTTTATTGATTGGGAGTTTCGTCTTTGTTCTGGGAAATATTTGTTATTTTCCTTGAATTAGATACCATCTAGGTGTTTTTTCTGGATTTTCATTGATTATCTTTTCTTTAATTCTTCTGTGCTTATTTGTTTTTCTTTTGATTTTTTCACTCTTCTTATTTCTGCAGAAAAGTGAACTCAGAGAGTATTTCTAATTTTTTTAACAATGATTGTGCACCGTGTGTTGTTTTTTCTTGCTTTGTTTTTGTGTGTTGAGTGTCTCTGTATGGCAGCTGCAGAGTCTCAACCTGGACCTCAGGCTGTTTCCCCTTGCCAAGACGGTGAAGATAGTGGTAGTTGTGCTGCTCGTACTTCTGCTGCATCTGGACACGCTGCTAACAGTTGCGGAGATGGTGGTAGTGGTAGTTGTCCTGCTGCTGGTGCTGCTGGTGGTGTTGAATGTACTCAAGGTTCTACGTGTAATTCTAACTCCAGTATACGTAACGCTGCTCGTACGGAATGTGCGGACTCTCCTTCTGGGGCGGATAGTTGCCCTACCAATGATGTTAACACTCAAGCGAGTTGCGGTGCTGGTGAGACTAATTGTAAACCCAAATCACAAGAAGAGACTGATGCGAAACCAAATGCAAATCATGGAATTAATGGTAGCGAACATCAAGGTCCCGATGGTCAAAGTCGTTCTGAAAGTGACCGCGGTTCTGTTTCTGATTCACAGCGTGGCGATCGTTCCAATCCAACTGTTGCTGTTCTTCCTCCTGCTGAAAAAGAAACTGCGGAAACTCAAAGTGTAAACGGTTCACAAGACGCTGGTTCTTCTTCTCCCGCTGCGGGTACTGGCGGTGCTCCTGCCGCTGACGGTCAAACTGAAAGCAATGTGGCCAGTACAACCGAAGAAGGTGGATCTAAACAGGGAGATGAAACAGTACAACCTTCTCCTTCTCCCACAACTTCAGACAAAGAGAGTGGTGATGGTTCTGATGCTGCAAACGCTGGGAATGACAGTACAACAACGGGGAGTGTATCAACAAACAACCAAGACGGTGCGGGAAATGCAGACACAGACACAGACACCACCACAACAACAACACTTCCTCCTGAACTCTCAAACAACAAGAAGGGTGATGCAGACAGCAGCAGCAGTATCAGCAGTTCTGTGTGGGTGCGTGTGCCTCTACTGATTGTGGCTGTGTTGTTTTCCGCTACTGCGTACTGAACAGTGGGACTCAGGTCATCCTTTGTTTTTTTTTTTTTTGCATGTAATCCCTACAGTCTAACTAATCTTCCACCTGTTGGGATATTCTTCTTTTTTGTTTCTTAATGTTAATGTGTTTTGTGTGTTTTTGCTCTCTCTGTGTTTATCCTATAATAATTATTATTGCTACTCCATTGTGTATGTGTGTGTTCCTGGAGACTCTCTGTGTGTGCCTGGGCTTGCACTGTGATGATAATGATGATGAACTGCCTTTTGTAGAGGGAAGAAAAAAGAAATAATAATAATAATAATAATAACAAATGAATTTATATTTATAATTGCGTATATACACATATAGACTTACATCCATAGTTGGTGTATATTTCTGTGTTTAATGGATAAACTGGGCTAATGGTTAATATCTTTTTCTTTGCTTATGGTTTTCTTAATTTGTGTGTTTAACGATGCTGTGGGTATTTTTAATTGTTTTTTTCTTTGTTTTTTGAATGGTCTCCTCTTTTTGTGGTGGTTATTGATATTTTTGCTGATGGTGTTGTTTTGTATGACTATTTGTTTTTGTTTTTGTTCTCTCTGTTACCGTCGGGGAATGTGTTTGTGATTATTTTATGTTTGTTTTGTTCTCTTTTTCTTTTTTTTCTTGTGCAGCTCAGATACCCTAAATAAGGAAAAGATCTGCTGCCGTGATGTTTCTTCACCGTGTGTTGTATGTGGTGGCGTTACTTGTGAGCATTATCTCTTTATGTGTAGCGGCTGATAGTCCTGACCTGTCTTCAGGTGAAGTTGGTGATAATACATGCCCTGCTGATGGTAGTAAGTCAACTGACCCTAAGTGTCCTAATTCTGCTAAAGGTGCAAAAGGTGAGCCTGGTCCTGACGGTCCTGCTGGGAGGCCAGGTGAACAGGGTCCACCTGGACCTCCTGGTGAGAAAGTTCATACTGTTTCTACTGTTAAAGAACCCCAAGACCGTCTTTCTCCTGAAAACGGTAGGGGAGTTCAAGAAACTGCCGCTCTTGGTACCACTACTGTTGTTAGATCTTCACAAGCACTTTCTTCTGCTTCACCTTCTGGTACCCCTTCACTTCCAACGTCTGCTTCGACTGGTAATTTGGTTACTACTGGTTCTGTTGGCCCTGGTAGTCGTGTTACCAGTGGATCAGGTAATGGTTCTGATGTTGATGCACGGAGTGAAGATCAACATGGACCAGGGGACATTGGTGATTCTGGTGAAAAGGGTGCTGGTGTTAAACCAGCTGCTCCTGCTACTGAGGCTGGGAATAATGCTGCGCCTGCAGTTAACAGTCAAAATGGAAACAACGACAACAGTGCATCCAGTGAAAGTACAGATAACACGAGTGATGCCGTGACACCATCATCTTCCACTTCCAGTAGTACAGAGTCACAAAGCGATGGAGCATCTGAAACCACAACGACAGGAAACGACACTACACCTGCAGAGAGTGAATCATTAAACAACCAAAATGAGGGAGAAAATACAGAATCAACCACCACCACCAACACCACAACAACAACAACAACACTTCCTCCTGAACTCACAAACAACAAGAAGGGTGATGCAGACAGCAGCAGCAGTATCAGCAGTTCTGTGTGGGTGCGTGTACCACTACTGATTGTGGTTACACTGGCCTGTATTCTTGTGTGCTGAT